CGCCTCCTCCCCCTCAGGACATGACTTTCAAGAAGGAGCCGACGGGGGCTTTCCCCTCCGCTCCCTCCTCGTCGCAGAGGAGCCCCTGGGGCTTTCTGCAGTCCCTAGTGAGCATCAAGCAAGAGAAGCCCAGCGAGCAGGAGGAGGAGGAGCCGCAACCCCATCACCACTACGGGGGGCTCTTCGGGGGAGCAGGAGAGGAGAGGCCCCCCGGCCTGGTGGGCAGTAGCGGGGAAGGAACCGGCCAGAGTGTGATTCAGGACCTCAGCCTTCTTCACCATCTGCACCAGCATCCCCACCGAGACCTGTTACTGAGTGGCAGAGGCGAGGGCGCCCCTGGGAGCTCGGGTGAGCCAAAGCACGATGCCCAGGTCAAGAAGGCAAAGAGGCCAAAGCCAGAAACTCAGGGAATCAAAGCCAAGCGGAAGCCAAGCGCTTCATCCAAACCCCCCCTGGTGGGAGATGCAGAAGGTGCCATTGCGTCCCCCAGTCAGAAACCTCACGTCTGCGAACACTGCAGCGCTGCCTTCAGGAGCTCCTATCACTTGCGCAGACATGTGCTCATTCACACTGGGGAGAGGCCTTTCCAGTGCAGTCAGTGCAGCATGGGTTTCATCCAGAAGTACTTATTGCAGAGACACGAGAAGATCCACAGCAGGGAGAAGCCATTTGGGTGTGACCAGTGTAGTATGAAGTTCATCCAGAAGTACCACATGGAAAGACACAAGAGGACACATAGCGGAGAAAAGCCATACAAATGTGACACTTGTCAGCAGTATTTCTCAAGGACTGACAGACTGTTGAAGCACAGAAGAACATGTGGTGAAGCCATAGGTAAAACAGGTGCTGGAATGGAGCCTGGATCATCAAATAACATGGGTAGCTTGGCTGTGTTGTCTCAGGGAAATACAAGTTCCTCAAGGAGAAAAAGTAAAACAAAAAGTGTATCCACTGAAAACAAAGGAAATAAGTGTAGCAGCAAAGTAACTGAATCTCAAGTTGCAAGTAATGTGGCCATGCCAAATTATGCTGTTGATATTCCCATTGTGTCTTCCAGTGGTGGCCTAGTTGGCACGGGCGTAGAAGAACTTCAGAAGAAGGTGCCAAAATTGGTCTTGAAAAAAACAAGCAGAAAACAGGCAGACAAAAATTACCTTAATTTTGTATCACCACTGCCAGACATTTTGGGGCAAAAACCACTGTCTGGGAAACAGAGTGGCTCTCTAGGTGTAGTAGCCAATACCGGTGTAGAAACTATTGGCCTTCTCCAAAGTACAGGTGGTAAACCAGGTCAAATAAGTAGCAATTATGATGATGCCATGCAGTTTTCAAAGAAAAGAAGATACCTACAAACTGCAAGCAGTAACAGTGCCTTTTCAGTTAATGTCGGACACATGACATCCCAGCAATCCGTCATCCAGTCTGCAGGTGTTAGTGTTATGGATAACGAAACTCCACTATCTCTTATTGATTCAGCATCTTTAAATAGTGAAATAAAGTCTTGCCATGATAAGTCTGGTATTCCTGATGAAGTCTTGCAGAGCCTTTTGGACCAGTACTCTCACAAATCAGAAGGCCAGAAGGAAGATCCTTTCAGTATAACTGAACAGCGTGTGGACTTGCACACCTCAGGAGAACATTCAGAGATGGTTCAGGAAGAAAACTTGAGCCCTAACTCTCAAACAGTTTCAAATGATAAGGCAAGCATGTTGCAAGAATACTCCAAATACCTCCAACAAGCCTTTGAAAGAACAACCAATAGCACTGGTTTTGCTTTTGGACCCAGTTTCCAATTTGTTAGCTTGTCTTCAACTCTCCATAACCACACTCTCTTTCAAGACAAACAGGTATACACTACATCTCCACTTGAGTGTGGCTTCAGCCAATCCGTTACCTCAGTATTGCCAACTGCGTTGCCAAAACCTCCATTTGGGATGTTGCTTGGATCTCAGCCAGGCTTTTATTTGTCTGCTTTGGAGGCTACGCATCAACAGTTGACTCCTTCTCAAGAGCTGGATGATCTTATTGATCCGCAGAAAAACTTAGAGACTTCATCTAACTACCAGTCAACATCTCAGAAACTGACTGGCCAGAAGGAACAGAAAAACTTAGAATCCTCAACGAGCTTTCAGATCCCATCTCAGGAGTTAACTAGCCAGATAGATCCTCAGAAGGACATAGAGCCTAGAGCAACCTACCAGATCGAGAACTTTGCACAAGCGTTTGGTTCTCAATTTAAGTCGGGCAGCAGGGTGCCAATGACTTTTATCACTAACTCTAATGGAGAAGTGGACCACAGAGTAAGGACTTCAGTGTCAGATTTCTCAGGGTATACAAATATGATGTCTGATGTAAGTGAGCCATGTAGTACACGAGTAAAAACCCCAACCAGCCAGAGTTACAGGTAAGGTCCCAACTGTGACCAGGCTGTGGGGTCTACTTAACATAATTTTGTTTTACTTTGACAACACTGCCATTGGAATGTTTCTACACGGTCCTATTAAGAATAATGTAACATGCCCTTTCAATGCAACTTTTCATATTTAGTTTATTTTGTTAGTGTGATTTTTTTTTTAGATCTGTTTATTATGGTTTTTAATCAAAAATCAATAGATTAAAATAGTGTTTTTGTTCAAGTGACAATGTTTAGCAATCAAATTTACATTATATAGATCGTCAGGGAATAGCCCAAAAATTTAAAATGCAAAAAATTAACTTTGTTCCTAGGACTAAGGTTTATTCTAATTGCTTTACTCTCAGGAAAGTGTAACGAAGCGTGGGAATTCTATGCACCACTAGTGTATTGGAACTTCCAATTTACAGATAGTGACAAATATATCTCAGCTTTTTGAGGAAGGGATCTATGACATTTCAAATTGCTGTCTCTTATGTCTGGGCTGATCTGATAGAATTTTGCTACCTAAATCTCATTGCTTTTAAAGTACTCCTGTTCTTCCAGGTGATGGTCATTCCAGGCAGGTGGAGCAAATATTCTTGGGTCTGTACTATGAGCCCAGAATGGTAGCTTTAATATAAACAATAATGTCCCCAGAACTCCTGTGTAAGACTGTAATTCCTTAAAGAGATTCTGTTGACACAAACCTTGAGAACAAAACGTGTGTGCCTGGTTCATGTCATTCGAACCCCAGCTTGAAACTACAGTTGTAATCCAGATAGTCTTTTGGGATACTTTTTTTTTTTATTATACATGGTTCAAAAAAGTTGTTTCTTGCTTTCCCGCTTTTCCACGTGTTTTTAGTGTATAAGGTTCCCCCTCTTTTGTTGTGCTCCCAATTCTTTCAGACTTGATCTTGATTTTTTTTTTTCCCCCCTTAATTTACACCTTTTCTGCCCCTGCTTCCCTACCCACTCTCTCACCCCAACTTAATAACTAGCATTTAAAAGGATTTACATTCCAGAAAGTGCATATCTTATTATGTACTTTCCTGATGTCTTATGACATCAGCTTATGAACAATAAACACCCACATGTTTTAGAATTATGTCAAGGTTTCCATGTACAATAAGAAACAATATACTCCCAAGTGTACATACTAAGGCTCCTGTCCTGCATCAGGATCAGCTAACACGGACCCCTGTGCCCAGCAGTGTCCTAGTGGTGTCACTGGAGCTCTTGACGGATATAGGGGTTTGCAGCAGTTCATCATTGCAGGCTTTTAGGGCCTAAGGCTGCAATTCCATCAAAGGTTCGTGGTGATGAGATCAACTACAAAAGTAGAACTTGAGTGACTTGTTAATATCAACAGAACTTTTCTTTGGAATTATTGCCTTACTTTATGTATATTTTGTGGTACATTATTTATTATACGTGAATCCTGATTAATGCCTGTGGAGCCACGGAAACCTGCTAGAAATACTGGTGGCCATTCAAAGCTGCTGAAAGGCAGTGGCACTGCTCTAAACCACTTTTTGCAAATGTATTTTTTGATTAGTTTTTTAATGTAATTTTGGTGATGTTTATGCTGATGGTTTTTTATCTGTACTCTTGGTGATGTTTCAGTCTTACGTACTTTTCTGGTGTCAGGAAAGTACCAGTGGTTGTTTCCAGTCTTACTGTGTAATCAGCCTATTACAGGCTTCCATGTATAATAAAGTTATTAACATTGTGCAAGTGTAAAACACTTCTGTTATGAAAGTGGTGTGTTATTAAAACAAATTGTTACAAAAATCCTGGGTAAGTTCTCCCGTTTTCCCTCACCACTAAAAATTGAAACCTGAGCCCACTTGTAATCTCTTTTACTAGGTGAACTATCTTTTTTTTTTTTCCTTCTTACTAATCTAGAGTTTGTTCTCATAGAATCCGTGTAACTCCATTAACTTTTCCTTTATACTTGATTATGTATGTCACCCTATTTCAGTTTAAATAAGCAAATAACAACTGTTCTCTGAACACAGAACCCAGCCTGTTATCAGGGATGGAGTAGTCCATAACCACTGTGTTGGCTTCTTCAGTACCTTTTCTTTTGTTTTACACAGGTTAGAATTTACATTCTTTATATTGTGTGTAGTAGAAGTTGCAGATGTATTGTTCTGACTGTTTGCTTTAACTTAATACTAATAAAACCCATTATTCACAAAATCATGAAGATATCACTTCTATTATCCAGTCACACTTTTGAGAACATATTAAGGAAGCATTATGAGATGAAATTTTGAGAAGGAATAATATAATTTACTCTTATGTTTTCAGCTTGTTTTCCTCCTCCAGTTTCGTTTTGGATCAGATCATCTGAATGCACTATTTTAGAGATCAGGGCTCTATCTCACACCTTTAGCTTCCAAGGCAAAAAACTAACACATTTCTTTAAGTTAAACTGTTTGCACAACCCCATCTTTTTAAATCTGTGTCTCTTTTTATATGGTTTTGGTTAAAGAGATAGAAATTACATATTGTTAACTTCAAAGACATTTTGTAATTGCTGGAAATCCAGAATGACACACATCTAATACAGTTTTGTTCAAAGTAAAGATTTTAGAAAGTCCTCTTTTTTTTTGTTGGGTGTTTTGTTTTGTTTTTTTTTCCTGCTCTAACCTCTGCGTTTCAAGGAAAGCCTAGTAAAAATAATGCTATAGCGAAGTACTTAACGCATTTTGGGTAATCTAAAGAGAGTTTGTAGACTTCCTTAATCTGTATTTTTCTTCAACTTTGCGTGTGACTATAAGAGCAGCACTGCTGAAGGTCTCAGAATGGTTGAAAATTAGGGTATTGAAGAACAGAAGAGAGCAATTTGAATCAAGGCAATGATGTGGACAAGGGAAAAATCATTGGCATGCTGAAAAGCAAATAAGCACAAAAACTTTCTAAAGTAAATAAGAAATACGCTAAATGCTTAATATTCAGAACAATCCTAGGAATCATTTCAGAAAATCTGAGGGGGAAGTTACTGGAATTTTGTATATTTTTTCTACTGCAATCATTCAAAAATGTTTCTAAATACACCAGAGTTAGATCTTTTCTGAATTTAATATGGAGTTCAAATTTATTTTTCTTTAAATAATGAAGGTTAGGGATATTGTAAAACGCATAGAAATTAGGCTGTGGGTTTCCCTGCTACGTATTAGAAAGAAATACTCAGTAAGTAGTAGTAACCCACATGGACTAAAACTATTTAGGGATGTGGCAGTGAGAGAAGGAAAAAGGAAAGCGAAAAGGGCATTGAATTTTTTTTCTACTTTAGTTCCTGGTTTAGTTTTTTGTTGTTTTTAAAGGAAATATAGGAGGGGAATGATTCTACCACTAACAGGAGTGTAAAGAAGAATTGATATACATGATGATAGAAAATTGTACGTAAACTGTTAAGCTGCTTATTATAGCAGCCCACATAACACATTTTTGCTTTGGAAGAAGTACATTATGGTATCCTGAATTGTGAATGTGTCTGTATGCCCCAAGCCACTAAAAGTGTATGTCTGACCTGCCTGCAGATGATCTAGAAGACCTAGGTAAAATTTGTAGTAGTTCCTGAATTACTTAAATTGGACACAGACTTGTGGGTAGTGGGTGAAATTTTAGAGTAAGAAATTACTGGACTGAAAGGGGAATGAAAAAAATAAAATGTGGAAATATGATGGTGTGAAGGGAGATCACAATTTCAGGTTTATGGACTATTGAAGAAGCAAAGCTGCCTGATGCCACATGGAGACCTTGAGAAGATACTGGAATAATTCAGTGTATTCCATTAGTGTTTTTTTGTCGTTTCAATTGTTTGCTCCCCCTGCCTCCTCCATATTATATGCGTGAACACATGAAAACAGTGTATTTGTCTGAATGATTCTACTTTTTTTCCACTAACTAGAAATGAGGGTTGTTCATGTGAAGTTGCAGTTGTGACTGTGGAAATGTTTGTTATACGCAAGAAGATACGTGTGAGAATGTGTAAGTTACTACCTCGGTGTTTTTTATTGTATATGTTGAAGGGAGTCACTTGAAAATGGAAGATTCTGTTTTCAGCCCCTGCTGACTACCAGCTTTAACCATTTGGGCTGGGATTTTCCAGGCTTTGTCTGTCTCTCACTCCGCATACTATCTTTCCCTGGGAAACTTATGCAAAAATTGCTCACGTATTTCCTAAAATAAGATTAAGGAAGAAAACTTCCACTGGCCTTTTCATCCTATGCTTCCCTAAAGCCAAATCAGAATCATCCCTCCCCAAGCTAGGACTTTAGACGAGGTTGATCGGTGTCCATTGTGGAATCACTGTTCTTGAAAACATGATAATAATAAATTTTTTTTTGTTTTCGAAAATGGTTTTACATTCAGAGATTTGAAAGTTTGGTGGCTGTATCTCCAAAGATGACCCCTCCAGGATAACAGATCGGGCTATTGCAGTTGTTTGGTATAGTAGTCCAAGTGGCACTTTCCTCTAATGCGTCCTGTATGGGGGCGTATGTTGCATATTCTCAGACTGGATTTTGTTTTCTGGCATCTTACATAAACTGTAGAGTCTTCACTTTTAATATTGTTCTAAGGTGATTTTTGTGCATTTTGTACCAACACTTAAGAAAAGAAGGTGTAGGATTGTGCACAGCATTTGGAACACAGGATATATACCTTGTTTACCAAATGAACAGCTATGATACACTTTGTTATCCATGTTGTTCAAAACGTATTTCTTGTGTCCCCTTTTTCACTTGCAGTTAAAACCCAGATTTATTTCAGCATTGTTTATTTTCTCACCGACAGTAATGACTGGCTACATTACGAAAGAAAATAAATTTATCTTTTCATATCCTTATACTGATATTCTGATGTTACGGGTTTTATAGATGGTGATGCTAAAAATGTACTTTTGGATGCCCACTTTTGTTTTGATGCCTGTGGCCTGGAGGGATAGGTACTGGAGTTTCATGTCGTTGACACTGACTGAAGTTGAATTCCTTGGTATAAGACACTTGTTTCAAATTGTGTCTGTGTGGAGAGAAATTGAGGAGTAGTTACCAGCTTAGTAAATGTGGAATAGCTAATTGTCTAGAATCAAGTAGAAGCTGTGGGGCAGAGTCATGAAGTTAATTTAATTTTTCAAGTTGACACTTAGGAGCCTTGATCACTAGGTTGTCTTTTCCCTTTTCTTGTGTCCACTCTAAATCCGGCATCCGCAACAAGTGAAACCAGGTTCTGCAGATAGCCTCATTAAGCATAGTCCTAATTCATTCTCTGAGTGTTGTCTAGTAGTCGTGGATACAAACAGTAAGGCAGCGTTGCTTGGGAAAAATACTGTGTCATTATGTTATCGGTCTGTCCTAGTGCACGTACAAGATGGGGTGAATTGAGGATTAAAAGGAAGATTTAGTTCTGGCTTTTTTTAAACTTAAAATGCTCGATTCATAATATTTATAGCAATGTCAATCTTTGTGTATACCATTTGACTATATTTTCATATAGATACTTTTCAGTAGTTTGTTTTTATTAAATTCCCAGGGGATTTGGTAATTTTAAACCCAAGGCTGTCCTAAGTAATGGTAGGATGCTACACTAGAAAGCTGCCGGTATACTTGGAGACTTGGTCTGAAATTTCATAAAGTATTCTGTAGCCAGACTCAAAATGAAGAAAGAATTAAGAACTAATTTAAGAATATGTTTCTTTGATTATTTTAATATATTGTATCTTACCTTAAAATGTTTTTGAAATGTTCTCTTATTTAGTGCTGTAAATATCAAAACATTCTGTAAACTAATGAGGCGTACAATGGTTATTATGCAGGATCTGCAGCAAGCATC